AGGAGCTCCAGCGAAGGTCCCAATGGCGCAGTTCGCATGCGTCTCCCTCGCCCAGGGCAGCGCTTCGTGGCCGCATAGGGAGCTACACCGAAGGCCCCAGTGGCGGTGTCCACATGCGTCCGCGCCACCAATTTCGGCGCACCCCTCACAAGTTTCGTGGCCCCATCGGGAGCTCCACCGAAACCGGTACCCACAATGCGGTACTCGCAACTGCACATGGTTGGGTCTTTCGTCAGGCTAATTTTTGTTGGTTGGTCTGAGGGACGGCGCCAGGGGTTGCCTCTTCGCCGTGGGGCGTGTGGGTCGGGCGGAATTTCGCCTCCGTCTTCGTCGTTCCTTCTTCGTCTTCCGTCCTCCTCCCTCTGCTCTCGATGGTGCTGCTGTCTGCATCTGTGCCGCTGGCGCACGGAGAGTACTGCTGGCGCAGAAGCGACGGGGGGATCGCACCACATGTCATTGGTTGCTCTTCCTCCTCGTCCTCCTCGTCATCCTCCGCCTCTTCGTTTGCCCTCTTCCTCCCTCTGCTCTCGGCGGTGCTGTCGTCTGCGTCCGTGCCGCTGGCGCACGAAGAGTGCCGCTGGCGCAGATGCGACGGGCAGATCTCATCCCATGTGATGGGTGGCTGTCGTTTCGAGTGGGCTCTCTTGGCTTTCCTTGGTTTCTTCCTCTTTTTTGCGCGGCCTGCATGTGCTGCTGAGTATCTAACACGCCCGCTCGCCCATGAAGAGGTCGCCCTGCTGAACTACAGCATCTGATGTCGTGATGCTTGCAACATGTACGAGGCAGCAGTGGCCAAATTCTGTGGCCTAGCAGTCGATGTGTTTCGGACTTTCGTTATCGTTGCACCAGGGCTCTACACGATCATGGGCACCTGGGCCATGGACGGCTACGGCTACGGCCGACTCCTCTTAGACTCCCTCGACGACTCCACGGTGCTGGTGGACATGGAAACCAACATTGGTCCGTCGGCGTGCCCTATTGGGGAGCTGCTCTCCACAGCCCAATCCATCGTCAGCCTTAGCCGATTCCAAGTTCGACAGCCACGCCAGCACTTGGACATGCGGTTTCTCGTGGACGCACATCGCCGTGAACGGGATCACTACATGAGCAACCAGTCCATCGTGCACCCGTCGTGGCCACCAACCGTGCACCGACGATGCTGTGGATCAGCGGTCCCCTCGAGCACTTCGGGACGCAGGGTCATCTGGACTAGTCGGAAGAAACAGTCGCGTCTTGCGAGCATGCCCTTCGGCTGGAGTTGGTCGTGCAGAAGCTCAACAAAGACAGCCGTACGGCCACGTTCTCCAGCTACGCGGGCGGTATCCATTCCCCCAACCTCACTCATGGAGCGAGCCTGTATGGGAACCGGGCAGGCGTCACCTATGCTGGAGATCTGATCATGTGATTATTTTCGGACTCCTCCGTGCAGACTCCTGCTTCCCCGACACAGCCGAGGCTGCAAGCGTTCCGTCCCGCATCTTTCGAGAGAAGGCGATCCAGTTCGTCGAGCAAGTATCCAGGTAGCGGCTACAACAGGGCCCCGAAAACCTTCCTCCTGGAGCTGCGCTCCTTCAGGCCCGTGGGGTTTAGAGATCATGCTGACGGCTAGGCGCACATGGGCGCAGTCGGCGCTCTCCTGCATTGCGCTCGTGGTGTGTGTGTGTGTATGTGACGTCTCGCGGTCTCTGGAGGCAAGCAGCTCCAGCTCGAGTATGACGACTCACGATGGCCCTGAAATGTGAGCACCCTAGATAGTCGCAGGTCAGGCGGGTCGGTCCGAGTGGGCTGGATCAAGAATGCCTGCGACGGCTTACAAGAGAGCAGACGCTGAGTGTTCTGTTGCTCTACGCGCCTCCCCAGTCGCCTCTCCAGAGCTCTTAGGCATCTCCCATAATGCTTTCTGTCCTGCATGTCGCGACTGCTGCGGCGAGGGGTAGCTAGCATTTGTAATTCCTGGGCTAGGTGATGTAAAGATCTGCTTCGCTCAGCTTGCCCCCTTGTCGCGGGTCGCCTCCTGCATCCCTGCTGTTTAGTTATCAGGCCCCCCCCCAGCCTGTCGACCAAGAGGTATTTCTGGTCTGTGTCTCACTTGCCCGAGATTGTCGCTTGTTTTACTTACTGTTGTCATGCACATTCGATGTTCATGAAACAGCCGGATATTTCAGCTTCACGTTGTGCTTCCAGTGCTATTCAGAACTTCTGAGTTCTGGGTAATCACGCGCTTATAGTGTTCATATTGTGCCGTGGATTGTTTCGGAGCAGCTGATCTAGGCCCTGCGAGTGCCCAAGCTTCCCCCGCAGGTTTCCTGTTTGGGCGATCTCATTATGGGTGATGCCGCGTAAGTGGTTTCTCATCGCGATAGCCACTGTGGATGCACCGTTTGGCCGATACCGATAGCGATGCTCTCCTCCCTCCAGGCCCCCCCCTCCTCGCGCCCTCCCCCGCCGCCTGCTCGGCTTCCCCCTTCCCCCCTCCGGGGCCGCCCCGCCGCCTCAGGAGCTGCCGCCGCTGCAGGACCCCCCGCGCCCTGGGTCCAACGGCCCCGCGCGCGGCTACCCGCCTTAGGCGCCCGCCGCCGCGGCCTCAGCCCGCGCGGCGGGCCTCGTCGGGCGCGGCGCGCCGCCGCGGCCGCTGTGCGCCGGGAGGGCCCTCGAGCCCCCCCCCTTCCTTGCGGCGGCGCGCCGGGGGGGAAGTGAGAAGGGAAAGGCATTCTCAGGAGGCTTCGGGGCTTCTCAGAAGCCCTGCGGCCTTCCGAGACATTTTCTGTGCCTTCGGGGAAGGCTTAGACAAGTTCTCAGATGGCCCCGGGCCTTCTGAGCCTTCTGGGAGGGCCTTTCCCCCCTAGTCTCGCCGCCGACCCCTCTCCCGCCCCCCGCCGCTTCGCCCTGTGCAAAAGTCGCGGCAGGAGTTTTTGGGGGACTTGTCGGCCTTTTTGGGGCCTTCGCCGGACCCTGGGATCGTCAACAGAACGACTCAGGATGAAGAGCCGGTCCTGGGGAAGGGGTCCAGACCTCCTGGCGCAAAATCGTCGCCGGCAACCCATCCGGTTTTGCTGGGGGGCCCGGCACCCCCCGCATCTCCGACTTTCATAGTGAGGGGGGGGCGTGTGGTGTGGCGCCCGAGAAGGGGGGAGTCACGGGCTTCGCGGCCCCCTCGGGCCCCGACCTGGTTGCTCGAGGGCCGCTGCCGACCGCCTGGCGCCGCGGCTCCCAGGGCTGTGCTCCGTCTCTGCCTGTCTTTGTGTCTCTCCCAGTTGTGTCACGCTCTGGGGCCTGTCGTTCCCCTTGGCCTCCGCGTGGGCCTCGCTCTGGAGCCCTTCCCTCTGGAGCCCTGCGGAGTATGCGGCCCGTACTTGCACGCCGGCTTTTTCTGTCCTCGGTCGGAACTTTGCCTTTCCCATGCGCAGTCTGCGCTTGGGTAGGTTAGAGTATCACCTCTTAGCTACAAGCCCGTTTGGGCTTGAGCCAACATGGCTACGGATGCGCTGCATGCTCATCCAGATTGAACGAATCAGTGCAAGTAAACACCATGCCGCGGTGAGCGCCGAATGGCGCCACCAGACCGGTCTTGAGACAGGCGTGCCGCGGTGAGCGTCGAATGGCGCTACCAGACCGGCCTCGAGACAGACGCGGGACGATTGCGGCTCCCCGGAATGCAGCAGACGGCGAAGCCACGGCCGCGGGACGAGCAGGGGCTCCCCAGAGAGCAGCAGGCGGCGAAGCCGCGGCCCAGGGGAAGAGCCAGGAGAGCGCAAGCCTGGCCGGGGCACGCGCGGTGGCCGTCTAAGAGGTCGCCGCCCGGGGCGCCCGACCGGAAGTTGTGTTACCCCAGGCCAGAAGGAAGCCACGGAGCTGTCACGACCTTCGGCGCCAGAGTGCCGCGGAGTCAGGGCTTCTGGGCCGAGGGCCTCCCCACAGCTCCCCGTCGGTCCGTCTGTGCATCCGTCTCCCCCTCGGGGTGCACCAGGGGCGTCCGGGGGGACCTCTCTGGGCCCCCGCGGGGGCCCGGTGGCCTCCCTTGCTGCCTCCAGCGGGCTCAGGCCTCGGGCGACTGGAGGACGTCGCGGTGGGGCGTTTCACGGCGTCTGGAGGCCGCTTCGGAGACTCGGGTCATGATGTTCCAGCCTACGTAAGACTTGACCACCAAGAAGAAGGTCGAGCGCCAGAAAAGTACTCCAAAACTCGAGGGTTTTGACGTGTCGGGCCCTGGGAGGCACTCGTCCGACACTGTTTCGACACTTCTTCGACACTCTTCCGACACTTTTCCGGGTGCTCGAAATTATTTTTGGGATGTGGTCCTCAAGTACGATGGGAGCAACATAAGCCTCGGGGCCGCCATCACGCGACTCTCCTTGGGAAGGGGTCGAGCGCTCGAAGGGCCTGCGACTCGAGACATTTGAGTCGTCGGAGGCATGGGTCCTCTCTCTCCCCCTCTCTCGCTCTTCGTCTCTCTCTCTCTCTCGCCCTCTCGCTCTCTCAGTCTCGACCCCCGCTCGCGCTCCCACCTTGACTTGCGTATTGCCCTGCTGTAGGCAGGACCGTGCGGAGAAAGGGTTTCCTGCAGCGCGTTCTCGCGCTCCTTCCCGCTCTTGCTGAGCTCGCCGTCCTTCCAGTCGCTTCCCCCCGACACGTGCCAAGATCAAGCAACAGCCTGAGCAGAAACTTTCCTGGACCACCTCGGCATCCATTCCTTATCTCAAGGCTTAAGGCCAAGCAACTGCATGAGCAGACACTTTCTTAGGCCACCTCGCCATCCATTCCCTATCCCAAGGCCGAGCAACGGCCCGAGCAGATGCTCTCTTAGGTCCGCGCGGACTTCGGGGGCCGCTGCTGGGGCTCTCTTTCCGCACCCCTCGGCATCGTCTCCCCGCCTCGTTCTCTGGCCAGCGCCGACCCCCCCAAACGTTCCCCGACCTCTTGGAACGTTTCTGTGGATGCCATTCTTTTGTCCTCTGCTGCTGCTTGCAACCCCCTTCCCACCCGACTTCCTCCTGCCCTGCCCTCCCCCATGCGGCTGGACATGTTCCACGCAAGGCGCGGGCGGCCCAATCTCGGGGAGGAGGCGGGGCGTCGCGGCTTTCATCCACATGTGCCACTCTCCCATCTTTATCGTGCGACAGCCGTTCTGGGCACACCGTTCCAATTGTTGAAGCCTTGAAGATCTCGCTTGGGAGCAGTGCCCACAGGGAGCAGGGGACCTGCCAGCATTGACAGGCCTCCACAGGCACGTCCCGTGCACAGATTTTCGCGCTCGTGGCCTGCTGGCCCGGCCAGGAGCCTGCATGCGCCACCGCCTGGCCGCGCAGCATTGCATGGGGCCTGTTGCGCTGGTTGGCCTCCCCTCTTCCCTCCTCCTGCGCTTCGGCTGCAGCCCCGATGCCGATACCGATGTCGCATGCAGGTCCGTGTGCGCGCGCGCGCTCCTCGCGCATTCCACCATGACGCGAGCTCTGGTTGCGGGCATCCCCACAAGTCTTGCTGCGGGCTGGACCTCGCTGGCTGTCCTCGTGGGCGAAAAATGTGTCCGTACCCGCGGCCACACGGGCTGGGCCCCTGGGCCGCCACCCCGCGGATACGGGGCGCGTTTTCGCGGATGCCCTGCGCGGAGCCTGTCCGTGCGACCGCGCATCCGCGGAATCAGCGGCAGCGAGGCTCGCCTCCTGCTTGTTCCTCCCTCCGCTCTCCTCTCGGTGCCTCCCTCCCCCCTCCTGTTGCGCAAGTCGTGCGCAGCCCGCTCGCTGCGACTCTTGGACGGCGTCCCGCGTCTCCCGGTGCGCTTGCGATCCAAAAAGGCATCCGCGGGCTCGCGCCCCGGCATCCGGACCGCGAGGGCGCGGACGTGAATGTGCTCGCCGCCGTTCGTGTGAGTTATACCGCAGGCTCGGCCCCGGCAGCCGGTCGGGGGAGCTGTGCACCAAGGTCGGCACCTGGTAGGGGCCTCCGAGCTTCACCGAGCGCGTTCCACTACTCCCAGGAGGAAAAGAAACACACAGACACAATTAATCATCGATTCCCCAGAAAATATGGGAACATATGGGAAGTGGTTGGGAAGACAGAAACCCCGAAAATATAGGAAAAGATGGGGAATATTTTTATTTGTGTGTATTTATTTGTGTGTCCCGGGGCCCCTTCATACTCCCAAAGTGCCTACTCGCAAACGCCCGAGAAACATATGTCCGCTTTGATGTGATTTATCCGCAGGGGATCCAGGCCATTTGCGAGTAGTTACTTTGCGAGTAGTGGAACGCGCTCGTCTAGAGCTGCTGGGCGGGGCCTGGGGAGGGGCGCGCGCAGGGCGGGGCCCTCGGGGTCGGCCACGCGAGGGGGCTGACGGAGGCGAGGCGGTGGCGTCGGACGTCCTCGCAACGTTCCGTCGGATCTCTTCGACACCTGGAGCCGACTGGGGGTTGGAGGTGGCCCAGCATTGGCTCCGGCCAGCAGGAACGGGGGCAAGGTTTCACCGAGCGCGTTCCACTACTCGTAAAGTGCCTACTCGCAAACGTCCCAAACACACATGTCTGCTTTGACGTAATTTGTCGTAGATCCCCCGCGGAGGATCCAGGCCATTTGCGAGTAGTTGCTTTGCGAGTAGTGGAACGCGCTCGTCTAAGGCTGGAGGTGCTGGGTTCGAGGAGGTCTTCTCGCCTTTCTTGGTCTCCGAGGGGGGCCGGCGTCTGCCCCCAGGACCATCAGACACGGATTCGGGGTGGAAGAGCACGACACGGGGACCCTGGGACGCGATTTTGCGCGGATTTGGCTTCAGCCCCTCCTCCTGACAGATTTTCTCGGGGCCCCATCCACCTCATGTCCTCTGGCCGCCTCCAATCCTACGACGCCTTCGGAGCTTCGCTGGCAGGTTTTCGGGCGGCTTCGGAGTCTTGTCGTTGGTTTCCCGAGAGGTCTGGATGTTTTCGATGCCAGCGCATGTTTTTTTGTGGGACGCGACGCTGGCCCTGTCTTCCCGCCCATGCGTGCGTGCGTGCGCTGCCAGCTCTTTCTCCCTCCCTTACCTGGCTGGGACGCAGCAGCCGGCCGCGGAGCAATGGTGGCCTTCCTGCCTTTGTTTTCAATGTAGAATGCAGGATGCACGGCCAAAGGGGTCCATAGGTTTTTCTCCGTTTTCGGGTTTCAGGGGATCCCAGGCCCCGGGGCCGTCAAACTACGAGTCAGGATGGAAATCAGGTCCTGGGGTCAGCCCCGCGGTCCAGCACCCGTTCCACTTCAGGGCCCCACTCCCTCTTGTCAGCCTTGCTCCCCCCGTTTCTCCTTGCCCGCTGGATTTCGTACCCAGTGCCTCCTCCCTGGGATGGCTGCTCCTTCCTCTACGCAGCAGGGCGGAGTGTGGAGCGGGAGCCCGATCCGCAGCGTCTTGCCCGAGCAGGCGCCACCTCGTCGGCGCTGTCCCGTCAACCGCTTACATATATCCAGTAGTTTAGTAGTCGGGCTTACGCCGCATCCCCTGACCCCTCGGGCTGGCTTGGGCCCGTCCGTCTTGAGGCTCTCTGGGGCCGTCTGGGTGTTCAATTATGGCTCCCTCCGCTGCTTGCCTTTGGCGAGCAGCCGATTCCACGCTTTGCGCGTGTCGCCGAGGCGCTGGTTCCGCCGCCCTGGCAGAGGCAATCAGTTTTCTGTATTTTAGCGGGGGAGCCCCTCACACTTTTGCTTCTTGTGGAATCTAATACCGCTACCCGCTATTCAATGTAATTGTAGTTGTTGCGTTAGTGTTGGTATAGCTGTCAGCAGTGCAGCTGGAGTCGTGGTAGTGGTAGTGGCAGTCGGAGGGTGGAGGAGGAACATTTTGTTGACGCAAATAGAAAGGAGGATGAGGCGGCGGCGGCGGGCTCATCAGGGGCACTGGTCGGTTCAACTCTGGCATGCGGATGGAAGACAGCAAGCCACAACAATTTCACCCAGGTCCCTCGAGTGCGCTGAGAAGCGGGCTTATGCCATGGGGGAGGGGGCTTGAACGCCCCGAGGCGGACCCCAGCATCGGAGGTATCCCTGAGGCCACCTGGCGCCCCGACAAGATTGGGAAGATATTCTTTACGCTTCGCGTATCCCCACCAGCCCATCTCACAACAGCAACTCTTGCGAAGCGTGCCGACAGTTGTGTTTTTCAGGCGTGTGTCCGCTTGGCCCCGCATATCCCCCCTGTTCCTCCTTCTTCCCGCCTCCTTGTACATCCTCCTTGTGGGGGCAGCGGGAGAAGGACGACGCGGAGGAGGAGGGAGAGAAAGCGGTGGGAGGCAAGAGGGACTCAGCGGAGAGGACGATCTCAGCGATGATCTGAACAACGACGACGCACCCGACGACGACGACGATGTCGACCGCAACGACGACGACGACCACAACCGCGACGACGACGACGACGACGACGACGTCGACGACGACGACGAAGGCGGCGGTGCGGGCCCTCGTTGTGTGAGTCCTTCGGCCCCGTCGTCCTTGTGTGAGTCTTTCGGGACCCTATTCCTGGTGTGAGTCGTTCGGTATCCTCGTTGTGTGAGTCGTTCGGGCCCCTCCTCCTGGTGTGAGTCGTTCGGGCTCCTCGTGTTGTGAGTCGTTCGGGCTCCTCGTGGTGTGAGTCGTTCGGGCGCCTCGTCCTGGTGTGAGTCGTTCGGGCCCCTCGTCCTGGTGTGAGTCGTTCGGGCTCTTCGTGGTGTGAGTCGTTCGGGCCTCTCGTCCTGGGGTGAGTCGGTCGGGCTTCTCGTGGTGTGAGGCGTTTGGGCACCTCGTCCGCGTGCGAGTCGTTCGGGCCCTTCGTAGTAGGAGTCGTAGTAGTAGTAGTAGTAGTAGTAGTAGTAGTAGTAGTAGTAGTAGTAGTAGTAGTAGTAGTAGTAGTAGTAGTAGTAGTAGTAGTAGTAGTAGTAGTAGTAGTAGTAGTAGTAGTAGTAGTAGTAGTAGTAGTAGTAGTAGTAGTAGTAGTAGTAGTAGTAGTAGTAGTAGTAGTAGTAGTAGTAGTAGTAGTAGTAGTAGTAGTAGTAGTAGTAGTAGTAGTAGTAGTAGTAGTAGTAGTAGTAGTAGTAGTAGTAGTAGTAGTAGTAGTAGTAGTAGTAGTAGTAGTAGTAGTAGTAGTAGTAGTAGTAGTAGTAGTAGTAGTAGTAGTAGTAGTAGTAGTAGTAGTAGTAGTAGTAGTAGTAGTAGTAGTAGTAGTAGTAGTAGTAGTAGTAGCAGTAGTAGTTGTAGTACTAGTAATAGCAGTAGCAGTGACACTAGCAGTAGCAGTGGCAGTAGAAGTAGCCGTCGTAGTAGAATTAGTAGTGCTTGTAATAGTACTAGCACGAGTAGCAGTCGTAGCAGTAGTAGTAGTACTAGTAGTAGCAGCAGCAGTAGTAGTAGTAGTAGTAGTAGTAGTAGTAGTAGTAGTAGTAGTAGTAGTAGTAGTAGTAGTAGTAGTAGTAGTAGTAGTAGTAGTAGTAGTAGTGTAGTAGTAGTAGTAGTAGTAGTAGTAGTAGTAGTAGTAGTAGTAGTAGTAGTAGTAGTAGTAGTAGTAGTAGTAGTAGTTAGTTGTGTGTTGTTGTTGTTGTTGTTGTTGTTGTTGTTGTTGTGTTGTCGTTGTTTGTTGTTGCAGTAGTACTAATAGTAGTAGTAGTAGTAGTAGTAGTAGTAGTAGTAGTAGTAGTAGTAGTAGTAGTAGTAGTAGTAGTAGTAGTAGTAGTAGTAGTAGTAGTAGTAGTAGTATCTCCGAACAGCAATCCCAGCGAAGCATGCCGACAGTCGTTTGGTGCAGGCGTGTGTCTGCCTGCCTTCGCATATACCCTCTGCTCCTATTTCCTTCTCCCTCCTTGTACAGCCTCCTTGTGGGGGAGCCGAAGGAGGACGAGTCGGAGGAGGAGGATGGAGTGAAGGAGTTGGGAGGCAAGACAGAGGGCGTTCGTCGTCGAGTCCAGCGATCTCCCCGACCAGCGTCGTCGTTGTTGCCATTCTGGCTCACAGTATTTCAGTGTGGCTGTGAGCTTCGCTCCGCCTACCAGGGATCCACGATCTTCAGGCTATACTACTATACAAGGCTGTCAGGCTCAAGCTGTAGATTTCTTCAAGGCTTACCACAGGGTTTCTAAGTGTATAAAAGCTGACAATGGACATTAGAGTCCGTTGGCGATCCTTCAGTCGCACGTTTCAGAAATGTCATGTTGTTTTGGTTGCTTTGTGTTCTGTTGAATCGTTTGCGGTCCTGTCTCAAGTTTTGTCTTAAAGTGAGTATTCCCCGACGACGACGACGACGACGACGACGACGACGACGACCCTGCCTTTCGCTCCGGGCGGTCGTCTTGGCTGCTGGCAGCTGGGCGGCTCTGGGCGGCGTCGGGGCTCCGCTGACCGATTACTAGATGCATATATGTATATCTGGTATATGTATTGTGTGTCGACGTATATGTACATATATATGTATATATATATAAATATGTATGTATATATATAACACGGACGCAGTTGAGAGTCGATGGGGGGAGGGGGCCTGGCCCGCGGCCTAGGGCGGGGCCCGGGACTCTGGGGCGGGACCCAGGGCCTCATCATCGTAGGATGCTCATCATTATCATCATCGCTATGATGGTGGGGGAGGAGGAGGACAGCTACCAACTGCGCGTTGGCGCCACCGCCGCCCCCCCGCGCCCGCTGGCGCACCCGCAGTGCGGCTGCGGGAGGGGCTGCGCCTCAATTCCTGCAGAGGCGGCCTGCAGGAATGTTTCAAGTTTGGCGCATTGTATAAACGCTCGAGCGGCCCACCCTTTTTTGGGGGGCTGGCGGTTCACGGGGGAGGAGGTGACCGTCATCATCCCCCCTGCCGCGTTCGCCTTCCCCCGACGACGATGTCGACGACTTCCCACGTTCTGGCTGAAAGGCGGGCCCACTCTCCCTCGTTCGGGCCGCTTGTTTTCTGGGAGGTGTTCTAGGAGTCGTTCGGGCCGTTCGTTCGTGCGTGCATGCTTCTGGAGTTTTCTGCGCGTCGTTCGGGCCGCTCGT